TCCAAGGCTCTTTGGCCACTCTGCTCCTGGAAGCTGTTGGAGACCCTGCTCCTCCCATCTTGTTGCTCCCTTCCTGGTGTTGGCCTCCATCCTACAGCCTAAAATAATGACGTCTGCACTCCAAGAAGCAGAGTAGAGAAAGGGGAGACAAAGAAGAAACAAAAAGTGCATAACTTAAGAAAGTAACCTGGAACTTGTGAGCGAATATTCCACCCAGATTCCATTGACCAAAGCTTGAACTCATGGCCATGTAGCTGCAAGGAAGACATTCAGCACTAACTCTAGGTAGCCACAGACCAGTATCAAGGGATTCTAATACTTGAGAAGAGAGGGAAAACAGGTGTGGGGAGACATGCAGCTGCCTCTGCCAAGGACTCTTAGTGGCCCCTCGATTTTCACCACGTACTTATTTATGAGTAAGTCCAGCCAGTGGCTTCTAAAGTCGGAGCCAACTCTGACCTTCACCACTCCTCTCCTCCCTTCCCCTCTTTCAAGTCTTCTTTTGTGACTCAAATGAAAACAGAAGCTGGTTTTGCTTGGGGAACCTGTCAGGTTGGGAATATCTGAGAAACATGACTTCACTTCCTAAAGAAATTGAAAGTTCTAAAACCCTACAAGCTTCCTATTTTTACTTCTCTTCTCACACAGGACAAACATATTCTTGCCAGGGGGTCCACTGGGAATTCTTCCAACTGGTGATGTCCTTTGAATGTGACTATCCTATGGCAATAGTACTTGGGGGCTCAGGCAGTCACTCTGTCCCTATGAGTTACTATTAATAAATAAGGAATAGGCGAAGGCACCAGCCTTGTACCTCCAGAGACATGAGCTCACAGACGTGTTTCCACGTGAAAATACACCAAGAATCTCTATATCTAACTTGCATGGCCTGTCTGCCATTGGAAGGGACTCAGAGCTTCTAGGCCAGTGGTTCTAAAACTTCACAGTGAATAAATATCCCTTAGGAGCTTGTGTAAAAAGCAGACACTGATTTAACTAGTTTGCACCAGGACCCAGGGTTTGCTTTGACTTCTTTTTTCTTAAGCTCCTGAGGTGGGTCTGCTGCAAGTGGTCCGAGACCTCAGTTTGCTGGTATCGGCGTGTGCCTTGTCATCCTTGGCTCTGCCTCTGTCCAGGCTGATGGCCACAGGGCTGGAGTAATTGCCTTCTGCCTGTCAGGAGACCCCCTGGGCTCTACACCATGCACATTCATCTTCACTTCCATCTTAAAAATGACTTTCAATGGGATGTTGTTTTTTGTAAAAAGATGTTTCCTCGAGGGGCACACAGAAGTCAGTTGTTCTCTGGAGCTGTCTGGTGTCTGTGGTGATGAATGGCCCTCCACAGAGAGACACCATATAACCGTAACTCTCCCAGGACGGTGATGTAAAAAGCTATCGAGCAACTCCCTTCCTCTTTACACAAAACGGCTCTGAGAAGCCAATCTGTCTTGCAGGTCCAGGAGACGCAAAGACCTGGGAGGGCCTGGGTGGGCCACTTTGTCGTGCTCGAGCTCGCTCAGCAAGGAAGGATGCCGGGTTCTACTTGGGCTTCTGAGGTTCTGTCGCTGCTTCCTGGGTGTGGTGTGTTTCCAGTGTGCCATATGCTGATCTGGCAGCCGACTGTTTACCCACTGTGCACCTGCTGTTTGCCAGCCTCTGCTGTCTGTGGGTTACAGGAGCGATCAAGGGCCTGCAGTCCTGCCACTGCCCTGGGGATGACAGGTACCGCAGTCTGTAGTTGGCTTTGGTCCTGGATACTACAGAGAAAGTGAAAGCAATGTATTGATCAGGGAGGTGGAAGGACTAACATCTGTACTGAATAAACTACAAATGTTAGTGGTGGAATAAAATAAAGGTTTATTTCTTGCTCACATTGCAATCCGATGTGGATAGAAGGAGGTCTTTTTCCAAACACTCATTTGGATTCACTTTTCTTTTACCTGATGGCTTCCATGATCCTCAAAGGGTCCTCTGTTTCTGCCCAGCCACCAAGGCAAGGGCAATGGGACAGAGGGCCACATGGGCCAGCCTGGAGTGGAGTCCATCACACCCGTCGTGCCCTGGGGCCGGATGCCATGCCACGCCCACCCAGGGCAGGGGAACCCAGGAAGGGTACACCAGCCTGGCAGCAGGGGAAGGGAAGCAGGCTTGGTGAGCACACCTGGTACAGCTTCCTCATGGCCACACCAGGTGCTGGGGGAGTGAGGAATGGGGCCGGGAAGAGCTCTTTCATTTTTGCCTGAGATTGGTAGTCAGAGAAATCACCCCCGCTCAGGAGAGATGACACTTCAGATACAATTTGATGGTGAAAAAGGATGCAGGCAAAGGTAGAGCCAAATAGAGAATGTTCTGGACAGAGGGACAACAGATTGTAAGTCCCTGCAGCACAAGGAGCTGGGGGTGCTGGAGAGACTTGAGACCAGGCTGATGTGGCTGGAAATGAGAGGTCAGAAAGAGGTAAAGAAAAAATGTCACAACACCTATTCAAACAGTAAGGGAGACTTTACTCGGGACCATTGCAATAGGTGTAGGAGTTACTGCAATGTGTGCAGTAGGGGAGAGAGATCGGGCTCAACTCAGAATACAACAAGGCAAAGTGGGGATTTGCAGCCAAGGAGCAGGATGGGGTCAGTAGATGGAAAATTACTAGGAGGATTTCTGGCCAAACTGACCTCACAGGACTCTTGCTGAAGGGAGGCCGGGGTGACCAGACATCACCAGGGGAAGATGGAGAGTGAGGCCCTGATGAGATTAGATGTGGGTGGTGGTCAGACGGGGGTGAGGAGGACTCTCGCTAAACTGGAAAGGGGTGAGATCCAAGGACGGGGCAGGAGCAGGCTGTGCTGGCCCTCAGGGCCACTCGGGGAATCTGGACTGTGTGTCCTGATGTCATGGGCAACAGGTCACAGGGACTGACATACAGTCTTAGAACTATGCTTTAAAATGACATTTGCAAAACTCTGCACTGATGGCAGCACAGATAGGTACCGCAGGAGAGAAAAGACAATCCCTTCCCTAGGATGGATATGTAGAAACACAACAAAGAAGTAATCATACGCCACCTGTTTGTGTTTAAGTGTCCTGGCGAGTGAGACAGAAAATGAGTACTTTAACAATTCCAGGAGACTCGTGTGGCCTGGAGCAGGCAGAGAAGTAGGGAAATGGGATCTGAAAGGACGCTGAGCATACAGGAGGATGCGAGAGGCAAAGGGGAGGTGAAAGGGGCAGGACCTACACCGGAGGGGCAGGAAGCGTGTTTGGGGGTGCAGGCGGGGAGTCTCAGGCTGCAACACTGGCCTGTGGTGAGAAAAGAGACTCCGCAGCTCTCCGTGGGGATGCCGGCCTAATGACTGCATCTGATGAAGCCAATTTCCTAACACGAAATTATATCGAACCCTGAATTAGACAGCGGAGCTGTTTCCCTGGATGACGAGAGCCAGAGCAGATCCCCAATAATTCTGAGCACATTTGCTCTTTCCGGGCCAGCTGGTCTTTAATGGGTGACCTTATTAATTTAACGCAGTGCATGAGAGAGTACAAATTACTACTCTAAAGGGCTGGAGAACGTGTGGGTTTCTCCGCCAGGGATCTCAGTGGGGAGGTAATTGCGCCGGGTCAGGAAGGTGTCATTAGTGCCTGCGAGCTGCTACCCCACCACCAGGACGGGCAGGGGGAGGAGGCAGGTGCTTCTCACAGTCCCTTACGTCAAGGAGATGAGCTCTGCTAGTTGGCACCTCCCCTAGGTACTGGTCCGAGGCAAAGTCCAGACAACTGTGTTCCCATTAAGCCAAATTTTCGTTAATTTGCACGTTACACCTTACAAAAGACTTAAACATACTGACATAATTAACAAATATTTATTTTATATTTTGATATGGTAAGAGCATTCAGGGCAAAAGGACAAAAGTTTAAGAAAATAATAAAACCAGAACAAGACGTAGAAATGTTTATCACACAGGATCCTCTACAATACCTGGACGCAGCTCAGAAATTTGTCCCAAAGTTTTCAGCAGCCAAAGGAAGAAGGGAAATACAATTTCTTACAGAAATGATGTTTTCCTTAACTCCAAGCAAATTAATTGCTAACAAGCATGCAGCACCTAGTCCTAAGTCCTTCAAGAAACTTCCCACATGCATGCTACTAAAGAGAATGTGATTTAACAAAAAAAGAAAAAAAATTGCTTTTAATGCTCCTCAATACAGACTAATAGCACATAACTACTATGTGGCATCGGAAAATTAAGTCTATGAGAAATCAAAAAATCTGTAGGGCACATCATTAGTTCTTTTGTGGTTTTGCACATAATCAGAAAATAAAATTTAAAACAGAGAAAACTGAGTGACTGAATGGTCTCAGGCAATCTTTAATAAAACAAGTCCAAATAAGGAAGCTGAGAGTTGAGAAACCTCAATCGAACGATATTTATTCAACACACATCTACCAAGGACTCAATTGTCCAATATCAGGCCTTGTGCCTGGAGCTGGGGCTAGATGAATAAATAGAAATAACCCCTGCCCTCAAAATACTTACATTTTGTTGAAGGAGATGGATGTAGGGACAGATTATTGCAAATACAACATGCTGTGTCATAGGAGGAGAGGAGAAGAGAAAAATAAACATCATTAGCTGAGGTGCTGCTGACTCCTGACTTTGGGAGCGATGAATGTGAGGGGTCTCTGAACATAACCTCTCTCTTTGGATGAGAATTTGAACCTGCTATAGGAAGAGGGAGGCTTCTTGTCTCCAGGGTCACTGTCTGGTTTGAGTTTGGTTGTCTTCCCTCCCTTTCTATTGCTGCCCCTGTTTTGCAAGAGCAGCAGGTACAATGGGAAATAAAGAAAAATGCACTTCAGTTTTTGAAAAATTATAATCAAGAAAAGTTATTTAAAATGGGCACAAGGTTTTCTAGGGGGGGGGGGAAACAAGGGCTCATTCTTTTCAATGTTTTGAGCTAGCACAGCGATTGAAATAACATTTGGTCTGTTTTCCTTGGCAGGCCTGTACCACAGGATAAATGAGCCTCTTCCCGACTGTGTAAGTCAGCCGATTCCCTTATCTGTGTTGTCAGTCTTTAATATTTACAGAGTAAGTGGCTTTTTTCAAGGTACTCGGTGAATTAAAAAAATTAAAAAATTAAAGAAGTTTTAAAAATACATTTCCAAATAGCATACTTTCCTGGCAAGGAAGCCTGCATTTTGATTCCTGGGTATAAACTGCATTCCAATTCCTCAGCTATAAAATGGAGATAAAAATTAATTCAAATGGTCATCGTGAAGGTTAAATAAGGGAAAATACCAATATGTTGTGCTGGCAAGTGCATTCTGAGAAATGCACTTCTAAACACTTAACAGTAAAATTTTAAATTGAAGCAAACTTTCTTGACAACAATTAGTCAATATTAACTAGGCAGTATAAAAAAATCCATATTTTTGGCCCAATAATTCATGGTTGGAAATTTAAATGAAGAAAATAACCTAAAATTTATACTAATATTTAAACATGTTCACTGATATTTTATAATACTATATTTTAAATGGCACCATATTGGAATCATGCCAAATATGTAATAATACAGAAATAACTGAATGTTATGATATATCCATTTCATGAAGCCATCTGCAACATTTACAAAGAATTTTAACACTAGGAGACAAAGTTTAAAATTTATAACATTAATTTAAATGTCTTATATTTTAAGTAATCATATTGTTAATGTATACATAAATAAATAGCTTTCATTTAAATATCTACAGATTAGAAGGGTAGATAAATAATAGATAGATAGATAGATAGATAGATAGATAGATAGATAGAATCTGCCTATTAACTCATTGTTTCTTATTATTTGAGGTACCTCTTTAAAATTATAACTAAAGCTATGGACCCTTACTCAGGAACACACAACTTGCCAAAATAAATTAGAGAACTAGAATATTGCAGAACTAGAAATTAAACTCAGAAAGGTTTAATTCCAGGCCCCTCCACTATAATAGAATCACCTCATCAATTTTCTGCTTATACAGTTAAATGAAGTACATAAAGTACTTAGCATATACTAAGTACAATTGGACCTCTGTATCCACAGGTTTTGTATTTGTGGATGCAAACCTCCTCAGTTTGAAAATGTTCAAAAAAATAATAATAAAACATAACAACACAATAATAATAATACAAATAAAAAATATAGTACAACAATTATTTACATAGCATTTACATTGCATTAGGCATTATAAGTAATCTATGATTTAAAATTTACAGGAGGATGTAAATAGGTTATGTGCAGATACTATGCCATTTTATACCAGGGACTTGAGCATCTGCAGGTCTTGGTATCCTCAGGGGTCTTGGACCCAAACCCCTGCAGATACTGAGGGAGAACTGTACTTTACAAATGTTAGAGGAACTTTAAGAGGAGGAGAGGAAAGTAGGGTTAGTAGACAGTTTTACCACCTCCCCTGATGTTCTTTAATGGTAGCAGTTATAGCAGTAGCAGTCATGGCAATATTTACAGCTAACATTTACTGAGTATTTATCATCAGGCATTTTACTCAAAATTTTACATGCATTGTCTCATTTAAGACACTTCTTGTTGCCAAAGTCACTCTATAGCTATATGTGATTGTATTCATTTAGTGTTATATGCAGCCATTTAATTCATAAATAAGTTTGAAGTGATCCCCAATAAATATACCTCTATGACAAGACAAAGTACAACATTAATTAAAAAAATTAAATCACACACATGGAAATAATTAATCCCTAAAGGTAGTTAAAATCTATTACTTTATGCACTTATTCATCTATTTTCTAAGTATATCCTAAAAATCTATCATGTACAAACAGCAACAACACAGGTATAGTTAAGGCAATAAATCAACAACTTTGACTGTGGGGCAAGAGTAGTATCTGAGGCAGGCCCAAGAGGGGATTAGCTACTTCTACCCATGGAGCCAGGTCCCTAAGACAGGGGTCACCACAGAGGATAAGGAAATTGATAGGCAACAGAGAGAAATAAAAGAATACACAGAGACTAAGGTATAGTTTATAGTTATATATATAAAGATCAAATATAACACAGTGGGGAGCACCTAGGGGACTGGTAGATCTCCATAACCACCAGCACTATGGTCAGATTCATACGGGTTTTTATAATCACAGACATCAATTACCAGTTGTCAGGGTAACATATTTGCATATCAGGGAATGCAGTTGCTAGGTGATACAGGTAGTGGGTTAGGGTCAAAAGTCCTCTCAAGGGGAGGACTAATTTCTCTAGGTGAGCAAACAGGTACAAAATCTTTCAGGGGCTAACTTCTAAAGAGGTAGTAGTTGTCAATTAACAAAGTAAAACAAAAGAGGTATAGTGACTCTATATATATTTTTTTTATTAGTTATGGTGAACTTAAAGGTAGACAAACAGGAGAGAGCAGGAAGCCCTTCTCTAATAAAATAGGTTGTTTATAACCACCAGGACGGTTCTCTGGGCAAAGTGCATTCATTGTCTCCGGCTCCCATCCTGTGGGCCATAATTGTCTTGTCTTGTCTTTCAAGACACAGGGAAGCTCACAGATTTTGAGATACCAGGAAGCCTTTCTGGAAAACATCCCCACCGGAGATTTGAGAGCTCTCCCATAATAGCAGCTTCTAATAAGTGAACCATTGTGTCCACACATTCCTTCAGGGAAAAACCCTACAAACTCCTTTTTCTGTCTTTAATATAGTAATATTGGGTTATACAATAGAATAATGGACTTATGAGCCACATTTCATTAATTCCTCAATCATATTTCCCCAACATTTGACTTCAAATTTTCAGCTATTGATGATAAAAAAACAAAACAAAACAGAAAAAACCCTGCGAGTCCAAAGAAAGAGTTCAAGTGCTGCCCACAACCACATAGCCCGAGCTCAGGCTCCCTCTGTTCACCATTGCACTTGCTGTGGTTTGACTGTGTCCCCCAAATGTCATGCGCTGGAAATTTAACCCCCAAATTCTTATGTTGATGGCATTTGGAGGCAGGATCTTTGTTGGTAATTAGCATTAGATAAGGTCATCAAGGTGGGGCCCTCATGATGGGATTGGTGACTTTATAAGGAGAGGAAGACAGCCCTAAGCTGGCATGCTCTTGCCAATTTTAAAGCTGGCTAGTTAGTAACCTCAATTACATTTGCACTGTCCTTTCACAGCAGTACCTAGATTAACGTTTGACTCAATAATCAGGAATGGAAGTATTGGTGGACATCTTTAGAACTCTGCCGAGCACAAGAGTTAAACCACAGACCCCAGACTCTGAAATCTTTACCTTGCAGCTAAGAAAACCTACATCACTCCCTTAGCTAGCACTGTAGCCTGTAATCTTTGTCAACATCGTATCTTCCTTTAACTCACTTGAATGTTCCTGCCTACTTAGGAAAGAAACTTTGCTGCAATCCTGGATGGAACAAAAGGCCACAGTGATGATGATGACTATGAAGACCCTGAGCTTCAGATGGTCGAGGCGTGGCAAACGATAAAAATTTTACCAGCCCGGCCTATAAAGGAATCTGAGTATGCAGGTAACACTCAGGGGTCTGCCTAAAATCCAAAGACGCATATCCATGCTGCCATATTGCATAGTAATTAAAGGTGCAGTTTCTGAATTAAACAACCCTAGGTTAAAATTCTTCTTCCAAGGCTTACTAATTGTGTGATCTTAAGCAAGTTTCTAAAACTCACTTTCTCTATCTGAAAATGGGGTTCATAATAATAGAACTTACCCCAGAGAGCTCTTTTGAAGTTTATGTGAAAGACGTATGTTGAGTTCTAGCCAGAGGACCTGGTACAGAGTCAGAGGTCTATAACTCTTAGCTAATATTATCATGATGATACTTTTCTTGAGGAACAACTAATGAACATGGCACAAGGTGGAAAAGATGTATTTGGGCAATAAGGGAAATGTTAAGATGGAGTTTGCATATGGGGGAGTAGAGTGGAAGAAAAGACTTTGTAACTTGGTTGATTCGTTTTGCAGGTAGCCATCCCATAAGCAGTACCAGGGCATGGCAGTAAAGCCACGCTTGTTAGGAGTAAAGAAGACCTAATTTCATAGTCACCTTTGTCTCTTTCTAAATGGTGCACATAGGGCAGCTTTAGTAAGTTCTCTGAACTTTAGATATGACATACCATTGCAAGGGAAAAGAGGAAGCATTCATGATTTCTGAGGGCTTGACCGCTGAAATGAATCTATAAAAGTTTCTTTGGAGAGAATCCTCTTGTAAATAATCATGGCATTCCTTTGTTCATTTATTCAACAAGCATTTACTAAGTATTTACTCTGTGTCAGTTAGATTGATCAGGGGACACAAAGACAAACAAAGCACAACCCATGCCCTCAGGAAGGTCACAATCTAGTCGTAAAAACAGACAGATCAAATGTGATAGAATAGAATATATTAAGTGCTTAATGTAGAAAGGGGAGCCTTGGAGAGGTATAGGTAGGAGATACATAGGAAATTTTTAAAGGATGTGAAATAGCACAAATATTGAAGGATTAGTAGAATTTCTTAGGTGGATAAGAAAATGAAAGGTGTTCAAGTCCAGACTTTGGCATTTATTTGTGTAAGCCAAGAGGAGTAATTTCTCCTCTTCACGCCTCAGTCTCCTCATCTGTTAAGTGGAAGTGTAATTATCTGCCTCATGCCTACATTGTGATGATTTAATGAGTCTATAAATATCCAGATATTTTGTAAATTATAATGTGCTGAGTCCACATAAAGTATGACTTTAATATTTTTCTGTTTGCACAGATACACGCTATTTCAAGAGTGTGATAGACACTCCCCTTCCGTCAGAAGCCAAGACCTCTAGCCCCACTGGGGAGCAAAGCTGGAGCATGCAGATGAGACTGAAAGAAGTGAGTAAAGGCTGGACCCTGGGAAGCAAACAAGCGTAGGGCACTTCCCAACCGACTGGGAGCTGCCTCATCTCTTGTTCCCTAAGGCACCTCTTTAGGTTAGGAGCAGGTCAAGCTTACTGGGAGAGGAGCTGACTCCTAAGACTGGTGGGATCATGGTCCTACTGAATAAGCATCTAGCAGAGAGGAGAATTAACATTTGTTAAAGATTTACTATGAGCCAAGCAACAGGTTAAGGACTTTAATCTGATGCTCATTGCGTTCTCCAGAATCAGAGTTTGAACTCAAGTGTTTCTGATTATAATACACCATTTTATCGTGATATATTGGCCAGCTTCTCAGCCCAACATTGCCAACTGTGAACGGGGTGATAGTAAGTAAGTCACACAACCTTTCTGAGCCTCTTTGTAACTTCATCCACAAAACAGAAATACAAATCTCTACCATGCTTATATCCAAAGGCTGTTTGGAGGCCACAAAAAGATAATTTTATGAAAATATCTTGTAAATTCAAATGCTCTAAGCATATATATAGAATTTTATTTATAGTAAAACATTTGCTAACATTTAATTTTCTTAATGCAGAAATGCATAAAATACAAATTTAATCACCCTTGGGATTGCAAACTTATTGGTCATAACACTTTGATGTATTTCATGGTGCATTTTATTATTGGTCTGTCTGTTTCATGAGAGAAGGGAATTGTGTGTTCGCTGACCTGTCCCCAGAGTCCATAATTGTGTCTGATTCTAGCAGGCACCAAAGACATATTTCTTGAATAAATTTATTGAGTGGATGTTGGCGTGTTTAGCTTGGTGCCTATATAAAGAGGACGTGTTCAATATTTCATCCCTCATCTTACTCGCTCAATCTTTATCAGAAATATTGTGTGTAATATTTTCTAAGCAAATATATGTTATGGAGGGTATCCTTGTTTAGTATATATCTGGTTTTCTTTTCTTTTAACATTAAGTTCTGCTTATAAAATACTTTCCAATGTGATAAACAAACATGCATAAGTGTAACTTTTTATAGAGAAAGCATACTCCATTGTGAGATTTTTATTTATTTTACTAAACCATTTAGTGGAAACATTTTAAAGGCTTTTAGTATATACTGTGAAATTTTCCTTCTCAAAAATTGTTTCCATTTACATTCACAGAAGTTTTATATGGGAATGTCCACCTCATAGACATCTCACCAAAAATAGCTATTATTTTTTTAAATCATAATTTAAAAAAATATATATTTTGTTGTTCTTTTATTCGTCTGAACCACACTTATTAGCAAGGTGAACATACTTTTGAATATTCAAATTTCTTCCTTGTGCATTACATGTTCACTTTGTTTATCTACTTAATCTGAGTGCTTTTGTTAATTTTTATTTATTTATTTATTTTTTATTTCAGCATATTATTGGGGTACAGATTTTAAGGTTTCAATAAATGCCCATTTTCCTCCCTCCCCCCACAAGTCTGAGCTCCAGCATGACCACCCCCAGATGGTGCACATCTCATCATTATATATGTATATACCCGCAGCCCTCCCCCCTCCCACCTGCTCAATAACCTATTACTATAGTATCTATGTGACAACTTAGGTGCTGTTCAGTTAATACCAATTTGCTGGTGAGTATATGTGGTGCTGTTTTCCATTCTTGGGAACTTCACTTAATAGTATGGGTTCCAGCTCTAACCAGGAAAATATAAGATGTGTATCACCGTTGTTTCTAGAGCTGAATAGTACTCCATGTTGATACATATACCACATATTATTAATCCATTCTTGGATGGATGGCACTTGGCTGTTTCCACAGCCTTGCAATTATGAATTGTGCTGCTATAACATTCGAGTGGCAGTGTCTTTTTTGTAGAGTGTCATTGGATCTTTGGGGTAGATGCCAGCAATGGATGGCTGGATCAAATGGTAGATTCACTTGTTCACTTTAAGGTTATCTCTCATATTGCTTTCCACAGAGGTTGAACTAGTTTGCAGTCCACCAGCAGTGTAGGAGTGTTCCTCTCTCTCCGCATCCACGCCAGCATTTATTGTTCGGAGACTTTTTGATAAAGGCCATTCTCACTGGAGTTAAGTGATATCTCATGTGTTTTGATTTGCATTTCACTGATTAGAATGTTAGCATTTTTCATATGTTTGTTGGCCATTTTCTGTTCTTCTTTAGAAAAGTTTCTGTTCAAGTCTTTGCCCATTTTTTAATGGGGTTATTTGATTTTTCTTCTGATTTTCATGAGTCTAAGTATATTCTAGTTATCAGTCCCTTATCGGATGCATAGAATGCAAAAATTTCTCCCATTCTTGTAGGTTGTCTGTTTACTTTCATGACTATTTTTTGGCTGTGCAGAAGCTTTGTAGTTTCATCATGTCCCACTTAATTATTTTTTGTTGCTGTGTGATGCTTTGGGATTCTTTCATAAACTCCTTGCCCAGGCCGATGTCTAGGGAGAGTGTTTTCCACTTTTTCCTCTAGAATTCTAATAGTTTCATACCTTAGGTTTAAGTCTGTTATCCAGCGTGAGTTGGTTTTGTGAGAGGTGAAGTGTGGTCCTGCTTTAGCCTTCTACAGGTGGCTATCCAGTTTTCCCAGCACCATTATTGAAAAAGGATTCTTTTCCCAGCGTATGTTTTGTCTGCTTTGTCAAAGATTAGATAGCTATATGAGGATGGTTTTATATCAGGATTCTCACATCTGTTCCACTGGTCCATATTCCTATTTTTGTGCCAATACCATATTGATTTAATTACTACAGCTTTGTAGTATAGTTTGATATCTGGCATTTTAATGCCCCATTTTGTTTTTGTTGCTAGAATTGCTCTTGATATTCGGGGTTCTTTGGTTCCATACGAAGCGTAAAATTATTTTTTCTATATCTGTGAAGAATGCTGATGGATTTAATAGTATTGCATGAATCTGTAGATCAGTTTGGGTAGTATAGACATTTTTGATGATGTTGAGTCTGCCGATCCACGGGCATGGTATGATTTCCACCTGTTTACATCCTCTGCTATTTCCTTCCTCAGTGTTTCATGTTCTCCCTGTAGAGGTCTTTACCTCTTGGTTAAGTATATCCTAGGTACTTTAATTTCTTTGTTGGCTATTGTGAAGGGAATTGAGTCTTTGATTGGTTCTCAATTAGATTGTTGTTGGCGTATATGAATGCCTCTGATTTCTGTGTATTGATTTGTATCCTGAGACTTTACTAAATTCATGATCAGTTCCAGGAGTTTCTTGTTGAATCTTGGGGTTTTCTAGATATAATATCATATCATCAGCAAACAGTGAAAGTTTGATCTCTTCTGCCCTATTTGGATACCTTTATTCCTATTTCCTGTCTGATTGCTGTAGCCAAGACTTCCAGCACTATTGTTGAATAGAAAGTGTAGATAGTGGGCAGCCTTGTCTGGTTCCAGTTCTAAGTGGGAATGATTTCAATTTTTCCTCATTCAGTATGAGTTGGGTATGGGTCTGTCATATATGGCTGTATCATTTTTAGGTATGTCCCTTCTATGTCTATTTTCTTAAGTGTCCTTATCATGAAAGGTGTTGAATTTGTTCAAAAGCTTTTTCTGCATCTATGAAATAATCTTGTGTCTTTGTTTTGCTTCTGTTTACATGGTGAATTGCATTTGATGTTTACATATGTTGAACCATCCCTGCATCCCTGGGATGAAGCCCACTTGTCGTGATGGATATTTTTTTGATAGCGTCTGGATTTGGTTAGCTAAGATTTGTTGAAAATTTTTGCATCTATATCCGTTAGGGATATTGGTCTGTAGTTTCTTTTTGTTTGCATCCTTTCCTGGTTTTGGTATCAGAGTAATATTCACTTCATAAAAGGTGTCGGGGAGGTTTCCATTCTTCTCGATGTTGTGGAATAGTTTCTGCAAGATAAGTACTAGTTCTTCTTTGTAAGTGTGGTAAAATTGGGTGTGAAAACCATCTGGACCGGGATTTTTCTTTTTAGGAGATTTAAATTGCTGTTTCTATTTCAGCACTAGAGATTGGTCTATTCAGGAATCTATTTTTCTTGGTTGAGCCTAGGAGGCTGTGTGTTTCTAGAACTTTGTCCATTTCCTCCACATTTTTCAGTTTGTGTGCATAAAGATTTTTGTAGTATCATAAATTTTATATTTGTATCTCTTTGGATCAGTGTGATATTCCTTTTTTGTTCCTGATGGAGCTTATTAGAGATTTCTCTTTGGCTGCTTTGTGTAGCTTAGCCAATGGTGTGTCAATTTGTTTATTTTTTCAAAGAACCAACTTTTTGTTTTATTAATCTCCTGAATAGCATCCCTGTTTTCAATTTTGTTTAGCTCTGATTTGATCTTGTTGATTTCACTTCTTCTGCTGGTTTGGGATTGGTCGTTCTTCTTTTTCCAGCTCTTTGAGTCGTTTCGTTAGATTGTCTATTTGTTGATCTTTTTGGTTTGGTTATAGGCATTTATGGAATGAAACTTTCCTCTCAGAACTGCTTTAGCTGTGTCCCAGAGTATTTGATAACTTGTCTCTCCATTGTCGTTTGCTTCATAGAATTTTTTTATTTCCGTCTTGATTTCTTCATTTATGAAGTAATCATTAATAGGAGGTTGTTTAATTTCCATGTTTTTGTGTAGAAATGTGAGTTTCTGTTAGGGTTGATTTCTAGTTTATTCACTGTGATCTGAGAAGGTACATGGTATGATTTCTATTTTTTAATTTTTTGAGATTTACTTTGTGTCCTAGATATGGTCAATCTTAGGAAATGTTCCGTGAGCTGATGTGAAGAATGTATATTTCAGTAGATTTGGGGTAAATGTCCTGTAGAGTCAGTCAGGACCCAATTGTTTCAGGGTTTTGTTTAAGTCCATTATTTCTTTATTAATTTTCTGTTTGTAGGATCTGTCTTGAGCCTTCAGTGGGTGTGTTGAAATCTCCATTGATTATGTAGTTGCTATTAATCCATTTGCTTAGATCCAGTAAGGTTTGCTTTATGAAACTGGG